ATAACATAATATATGTTTAATTCTATTCCAATGTCTTCGTGTTGGAGCGTAACTATATCTTTTCGAATAATATTAGTAAGATATATCAATACATTAGTGGCACTAAGATACGGTACTTCAAGATCAAGTAGTTCTTTATTATCTTCTCGAGGTCGAAAATAGTCTTTTTGGATATCAAGTGAACAAACTACTATTGGGCTAGTTAATGAATTATCTTTATATATAATCATTGTAGATACTTTTTCTATATAAATTGACTGATGAATAAAAGTCTCATTCTGCGAGTGCTCGAACTGCAGGTCGAGATAACATTTTTTTCAAGGTCTTCACATCAAATTCTCTTTTTAGATAACTTATGACACTTGGAATCTCTTTAGGAGTTTCAATGATATTTAAGTCATCAACAACAAATCCATTTTCAAATAAAAATATATGAACAAATAGGGTTTTTGTTTTATAACTTTCTTTCAATAAATAATCATTGAAGTGATTATATCACATGCACATGGGTTAGTAATAAACAGTATATATAAAAATAAAATATATAAAAGTATAATATAAATTGAATTCTAAAAACTAAAATAATAAAAAAAAATACTAAAATAATCCTAATAGAGATTTCTATAATTTAATTGAATTTTTTTCTCGAGAATATGTATTACATACTTCGGCATGTTAAGTTCTTCTAGGACTTTCATACCGATATCATTTCAAATGAACAAATAAACTATGATTACATTCATTAAATACATGCATATGAATGTTTTTCATACATTTTCCCAAGCTAATAAGATAAAAAAAGACAGTTGCATCCATTATAGGAGAATATGTCTCCTCATAGTCAATGTTAGTTCTTTACGAAAACTTTTGTGTTAAAAGTTTTGCTTTGTGTCTTACAATCTCATCTTTCTTATTTCATTTTCACATAAATACATATTTGTATCCTACTAGCTTAACATCTTCAGGTGTTTTAGATATGGGTTCAAAAAATTTCTCTTATATAAGAGAACATAATTCCGCTTGGAATTCTCTTTTCATTTAGGCCAATTATCTTTATGTCGATATTCTTCAATAGATTTTGGCTCGGAATCCTTATTTTCATTTAAAATATCAATTGAAACATTATATACACAAAATATTTCTTTTTGGTACTTATTTTCTCCCTTATTTACATAATTTATCAAACTCTCTTAATTTTTCTCAAGCATTTGGACTTCTTCGAAAGCTCTATTACCATTTTTATCTTAGACCATTTTGTGAATATTTGCATCTTTCATATTTTCATCTTGTCCTTTTCTTTTAGAGATTTTTATCTTTAGAATCGATCGGTCTTCCATGCTTCGGACGTGCTTTAGATTCATTGGCTATAACATTAATATACCGGCCTTCTAGGGCATCAATTCTAATAAAAGCATTCTCGGTGGGGACATGTATTATAGTTACTCATTTAGAATCTAAGAATACATTTAGCGAGTTGGTTTCTAATACTTTGTAAATGAATTATCTTTTGAACTTCCGGTTCACATTATTTTGTACGAGATTCAATTTGATAGAAAGATAGAGTACTCCATGTAATCTTTTTTTCAATATTTTCAATCGCTTATTTTGCTTATTCTCTCCCTCTAATGTTGGAAAAACTGTTTCATCAAAATGATAGTCGATAAATTGAGTTGTAAACATACCTCTTATTCATGAATCAAGAGATCGAAGATGTTTCAAATCCAACATATATTCTCAATTTTCTTTAAGTGCCCATTTTATTTTGTTATGAAGGAGCACTACGGATATATACTACAATGCCAAAAATTCTTAAATAAGAAATATTTGACTTATGACCATAAATCAATTGAAGAGGATATAATTTCGATAACTTATGAGTCCGATGTGAATAAGTGTTATTGTATGTAAGATTGCATGTCCCCCAACATAAACAAGGAGTTTTATTTTTAAATAATGGTTTATCTATCAATTGGACCCTTTTGATAAATAATTTTGCTAAACCTTTCCGAGTATGAACATGAGCAACGAGATGTTCAACATTTATTATAATAACCAATCAATAATAATTTAATGCTTGAGAAATAAATTCATCGAGCATTATCAAGGTGACTTAGGCATAATCGAAAAATTATGCTCGCAATCAAATTATTTGCTAGCAATATAAAAAATGTTAGGTTTCAAGTAGATAATAAGAATATATGTGACCATCTTATAGATGTATTTATTAAAATTATAAAATATTTAAATGGTCCACATGGTGGATGAATTGATCCATATATATCACCTTGAATATATTCTAAAAATACCGGAGATTCAATCTCAATTTTAGTTGGTGATGGCTTAATCATCAATTTATCTTGACAACATGCGGAACATGAAAATTCATTAAATTGAAGAATCTTCGGCTCTTCAATAGATGTCCATATGAATTTTTACTAATTTTTCGCATCATGAAAGACTCAAGATAATACAACTCGGTCATATCACACATAATAAAAGTATTTGAATTAGTAAACTTCGGTTTACTATAGCATTTGTCTTAATCATTTCAATATTTGTAATAAAGACTAAAAGAGAAAGCGGATAAATTTTTCAATACATATTTTCTACTCGGTATAATGATTATAATATATTCACATTTCTTATCTTGATATGATATCAATTTAGATGAATATCTTTGAAACTCAACAAGTTCCTAAGAGACTTTGAAGAGAATAGTACATCATTTATTATAAAATTTATCCTTTCAGATAATAACATATTTTCTCTTATAGAGCCTTTAAATCATATCACTTTAAGTAATAATATATCTACTTTTCTAGAGCCTTTAAAAGTTATCTCTTCAAGTAATAATCAATTTGCTCTTCTAAAGTCTTTAAAAGTTATCTCTTCATGTAATAATGTATTTGCTTTTCTAGAGTCTTTAAAATTTATCTCTTCGTGTCATAATATAATTACTCTTTTAGAGCCTTAAAAATTTATCTCTTCGAGTAATAATATAATCGCTTTTCTAAAACTTTCTATTACATTGATATTATCATATATAATATTAAAATAAAATAAATAATCAAATAAATCAGTACAAAATAAATAAATAAATAAATATATTCCTCACAAACACAAATAAATAAACAAATAGTAAAATAAATTTGCAATCATCATTATACGATATAAATTATAAGAAATATAAAATATTTTATTTATAAATAGAAAAACTAACAAGTAATTAATTTCAATTACTATTATTCGATATATAAAAGTGGCCTTTATATTTTACTCTTTATTTTTCAATAAGGCTTGACAAGGCTCAATGAAGTACTTTGGTGTACGGCAGGTACACAACTAATATTCATTCATTTCACATCTATAATATTTATTTTTCGAATATCGACTTTATCTATTTTTATTCTTTTTTTTCATAGTCATCCACTTCGGTGGTGAGATGTAATATTATGGTCATCACAATTATAATGATAATTATTTCGATTATATCCATGGCTATGACTACATCTTTGTCCGTGTCCAAAATTATTATAATTTGTCACATTCACTTTAGGGAATAGAGTAAATCCGAGTTGGATGAGATTTATTCCTTTTCATTAATAGCTTGTCATTTTATTTAGCGATGAGAAAATATGAAATCGATTCGGAATATTTCTTAAATTTATTTTCTCAATATTGCTACTTTAGGAGCATGTTCAAGACATAAAAAGTAGAGAATATTTTTTTAGAATCAAGCACTCATAATCAATAATTCTTATTCGAAATATCAAGAGCAACAAAATTAGGTTTATGAGGTTTAATATGATAAAAATTCTATAATGTAATATATAATAATGATATTAGAAAATAAGAACAAACATAATAATAAAATTAAAGCTTTTCAAACAACATATATTAGATCATTAGATTTTATATATTAAATCATTTAAGTTTTTCAAATGTATATTATATATATCATTATATTTAAATTACATGATAAATTAGATACATACCTTTTAATGATCTAAATAATTTAGATATTTTGATATAGCACTTGTGTAGAAGAAATCCCATGGTTGAAACAATTGATTAAGTTTTTTGATAGATACATACCTCATGGTCTATTGTCTCGATTGGTTAGAGCTTCATGCTGAGAACTTGTTATAAAAGAAATATAAATAATACGAGAATTGAAGAAAAAGATGACAAGAAAATGAAATCACTATAATGTGAATATAAGTGATAAGAACTTCAAAGCTTCTTTTATTCTCTCTAGAAAACTTTTACACGTATTAATAACAATCAAGCCTATTTATAGGCTTTAAATTTGAGAAGAGAATTGAAAGGACTTATGAATAATCAATTATATTACCCTTTTAATTTCTCATATTGAATGATAAATTGAATCATATTAAAAATCATGAATAATAAAAATATAATAAATAAATAAATATGATGATGTATATTCATTATTTGATAAAAATTTTAAGTTTTTCGATCGTTTCATTGTTATATATTTATCATGTGTATTCCAACATTGATTACCAAGATTACTCAACTCGATTATATATATATATATAAAATAATATTCAAATTGTAAAAATTGAAATTAGAGTACCAATCTCCATTTTATTGATAAAAAGTACCATACCGCCTGTCGTTTCTAACGATAAAATCTAAATATGAGCTTACAGCCAAAAACAGATATAGCCATCGCAAAATTCTAATCAAGAATCATCAAGATCTAAATTCAGAAACCTTTCTCACCTCACCTAACGACGATCTCTCATAATCCAACCGTTTCTTTTCTATTATTCAGATCAGATCAGACAGCTCGCTGTCATCCAAAACCAGAACTCCTCATCTCATTTCTTACAAATTTCATTAAAACAAAGGCGGCCGTTAGCACCATCCCCGCCGTCGATCTCCTTTTCCGATCTCTCAAATTTATACAATATAGACCAGGTACGTACCTTACCAGATCTCATTTTAATCTTTTTATAGAGTTTTAATCGATAATGAACAACTTCAATTTCGATTTCGGAATCGGATCAAACAGACCCAAATCTTTAAACGATCAAAAGAACCCAAACCCATCTACCTATTCATCTTCTACAACACATTCTAAGCCTACGTGGCAACCCAATAAGCCATCATGGACCCATCAACCGGCACCAGGCCAATCAATGGCCCGACCCGGTGGCTTAAATGGACCCACTTCTATGGTGGGTGATATATCAGGGAAGAGCTGGAGTTCGGGTGTGGATTCGGGTATTGGGATTGCTGAAAAGAATCCGAATTTGTTTGGAGATCTTGTTACTTCTGCTATGGGAAATGATAAGGTTAGTAGTAATAGGAACGTTCCTTTGAAAAAATTGGGCAATTTGCCTGATTCTTTGCCGAAAACGAGTGGACCCACCGCCAAGAGTAGTGGAGTTTGGGGAGGTAATGATAATTTGGGTGGTGATTCTGGTGGTTATAATCGAAATAGTGGTAATGCTAATGTTAGTGTTGGCGTCAATAAAAGTTCGAATCTTTGGGGGTCGTCGATGAAGAATATGAGTGGAGGTGGAGTTGGAGGTGGAGGTGGAGGTGGAGGTGGAATGAGTGGAAGTAAGGACCCTTTTGGTTCTTTGGTTGATTTTGGAATGAATCAGAAACCAGGTAGTCTTAATTCGGCTAGTAAAGATAATAAGCCATCCGGCAATGCTGGTGATGATGCATTTGGTGTATTTCAAAATGCTTCGAAATCAAGTGCGAAATCGGTTCTCTCAGATAGTGTTGGTGCTAGCAATAATGATTTCATGGGATCAAATATGAGTTCCAAGTCCAATATTGATGACTTCGGAATGTTCAACAATAACTTTCCTACTTGTAAGCAGCAGACTCCGGTTCAACCTTCAGCTTGTGATCCACTTGACATGTTCTTTACACCATCCACTGGAAATGCTACAACTATATCGGGAGGATTGGGAGGGCAGCCATTCTCAGAAGTTGATGATTGGGGATTGGATTCTGGGCTTGCAGAGGGAGCTGTGGATGATTCACCTGGTGCCACCACTGAGCTTGAAGGGCTTCCACCTCCTCCCGCTGGGGTAACAGCTTCTGCAGCAAAGAACAAGGGCATGGACAATCAAAAACAGGGGCAATATGCAGATGCTATCAAGTGGCTGTCTTGGTCTTTGGTACTTCTTGAGAAAACAGGTGACAAAGCTTCCACCATGGAGGTCTTATCATCCAGAGCTTCGTGTTATAAAGAAGTTGGAGAGTATAAGAAGGCAGTGGCTGATTGTTCAAAGGTATAATCATTTCTTTCTCTCTGCTTGTCGATTTAAGCTGTAGCCTTTTCGTACCTTTGTTCTGGTGGTTGTTTTATGATAATGGTGTGTTTCTTTAATCTAAACTATGTGCATTATGAATGAAAATTTTGAGTTTTAGGGTACTACCTTCATGTATTGTGGGCTTTTGAGCATTGGATGACATAGCTATTAGACTAATTGGTAAAGAATCAACTACATGAATGTGTTATATTGTAAGATCCCCCCAGAGAATCAATGTTAGAAGAATGATGGAGTCTTGATATACTGCGAGTTTGGTCCCTTGGTTGCCACCTCTGATTTGCTTAATCGCCTGACATGGAGCCCGTCTTGTTTTGGACTTGACACTGTTTGCTTAGTGCTCCGGATAACTATAACCGAGTCCCATGTAACTTAATAGAAGCATATAAATAAATCTGTCCTCCAAGCAACTTACCCATTGCATATTTGAAGACTAGCAACTTGCTTGGTGATGCGAATAGATATTGCTATGACAAGTTGACAATGCGTTTCTTTTTCACTATTCTGTGCTTGAGGGTGCTATTCCTGCCTTACCATATATATATATATATATATATATATGTACTATGATTTTTTCTTTTCTTTTTTTTTTTTTTTTCCCTCTTGATCTTCTAACTTTACAAGGTTAGGGACTTCATAGTTTCTCTCCGCTGTGCACGTGCAGGTGCTCGATCACGATGATGCAAATGTATCTGCTCTTGTACAGCGTGCGCTCCTGTATGAAAGTATGGAAAAGTATAGGCTTGGAGCAGAAGATCTGCGGGTTGTTCTGAAGATTGATCCTGCTAACAGGGTTGCAAGGAGTACCATTCACCGTTTGACCAAAATGGCAGACTAAAGAGGTTCTGAAAATGTCACTCTGTATTTTAGCTTCTTCGTATAGGTTACCTTTCCCATTGCTAAATTTGTGGGGAATGATGACATTTTGCTTTAATACGATCTCAATTGATAATTATGGCTTACATTTATGATGTGTAGAATTCATTTTTGTTGACTGTGACTGGGATGACCCTTTTTCAGAAAGGTTTTGGAATCTTGCAACTGTTTGTGAAAGACATTTAGCAAAACATTTTTATCCTGTGCGTCCTTCTAAATTCCAAGATTTTGTTGTCTTCTGATTAAAATGTTGGTTGGAGATATATGCCATTGTAATTCTTCACGTTCAGTTAAATGTTATTGATTGATGATTCTCCATGATCGTATCTTGTTCGCAGAGTATTTAGCAAGCATTGGAATAAAAACGTTGATTTAAATTTCTCAATCCCTCAAGAGTTGGCCCTTTAAAATGAAAACGTTTCCTTCTGATCTCTCTTTGTAATTTCATGTTTAGGATGAACTTTTACAATTTAGCTTGTCCTATTTTTGTAATTTAAGAAAGTTGGCGTTCTTCATACTGATTTTTCAATGGAGTTTGCATACATAATTTAGTGTGTACGAGTCCTATTAGTGGTTTCTCGGAAATGCACAGATTGGTTGAACGTCAATTTTCTCGGAAATACATGATTTATTGATTTGATCTGCTTAGTTGCTGAGACTTCTCCCACGATCGTGGAGACTCTCTCTCTACCATAACCAATTTTTTCTACATCTAAATTGGTTGGTAGAAATCTAATGCTGAAGTTGAAACAGAATTAGTCTCGTTAGGATTTAAATCCGTGATTTATTGTGAAAGAACACTATTATTAAGTTATAAGTTCTTTGGTTTTCACAAACGCTAATCTAATTGCTATTCTTATTCTTATTTATGTTCAATTTAGAAAATTAAATAAAGGAAAAAGAGGGAGGTTTAGCAGTTCAAGTTCAATGTATGCAAGCAATAACAAAATCTAACATACCGGTCTTATCCCAAAAAAAAAAAAAGTTGGACTAGGAGAACCTTTAGAAAACCAAACACGATACATATAAATACCATGATAATCGTGCTTGTAAGCTCTATGAATATCCAAAGAAAGATCCACTACGTGGTTAAAAACAATTTTACCTAAGGGTTTGTAAGCATAATTAGTTAACCTATCTGCTGTATAATTTTGTTGATTAAGGACATGAAAAATAGAATGTGCTATCCATAATTTCTCACACTATCGAAGTTATAGATCATACCGCCTAGGTTTAGAGATTCGATGTTGTACCACATCTATTATCACCAAAGAATCCATTTTGATTAACATTGTTGTAATATTCAAATCTTGACAAAGCTTAAGACCATCGAGAAAAACTTTTATTTCTTTACACATATTTGTTCATGTTTCATAATAATGTGAAAAATTAGCACCCTGACCATTCAGAATGATGCCACCATCTGAGCAATATCAATTTTTAGAAGAATCATTTGTATTTAATTTGTAAAAACCTCTATTTGGAGGATGCCATTTTAACCATAAACCTCTTATAGGTGTAATTGACAGCAAAGGTACTTGACAGTGCTTTAGCTTGTTTTTACCTTGAGAACTACACTCCTTTTTTCGGTTTATAAACCATACACAAGTCCATAAGGTGTACACAAATGTGATTTTTAATCAAACCTGAACTTATTAAAATATCTTGCTTGAAATCTACCTTTTTAGATTTCCCATAGGATTAAAAAACATACTGCAACCTAACATATAGCTGCCTGAGTTTTTGTACTACATAACAAAGAACTAAGAAGATTTGAGCTAGAATGATACCTAGTTTTTATTTGAACCATCAGGCCATAATGATCTCAAAACTATACCGCAATCTCTGATTAAAGAAACAAATGATCAAAGGATTCCTCTTTATGGCTATGGCGACAATGGTACATTGAGACTATAGGGATATTTAAACATTTAACATTACTATCCACATGTATAACCTTATATATTCATCTCCAAATGAAACTATTTGCCTTGGCAGGTATGTTAGGAGACCACACTTTATTAAACCATGTAACTATTGGGGAATGATTTCTACGTGCTTCCCAAAAGTTCTTTGTAACAAATTAACCTGATTTGGAAAGAGTAAATACCATCCTATCTTTTATATTATCATCTAGCTGGATATTTCGCACCTGTTCCTATAACTGGTTAGGAATGTAATCCATAAAATTTTCTAAGTCTTGAAGGGCCTACGTCATGGTTAGATTTTTATCCATGGGCAACGGAGATTGAATGAGAGACCCACACCAATTGGTATTCTAGAAAGATATGTTACCATTACCGATCACCCATTTACTATTGTCGTTTATAAATGCAAAAAAATTTGACACTAAACATCATATGGGGGAAGCTAAACGTTTTGCAAGCAGAGTGAAGTCTTCATACTTTGATTTCATAAAGCAGGCCCACAGACTACTACCTTGCATATGGGACCAAGCAAACTTTACTTGAAGGGCTTCTATCAAACAACCTCCCAAGGGATCTAATGATGTCGAGGCTCGCCAGCTAAACTCCATAGAAAATCAGCCGTCATTATTTTCATTTTTTCTTAACACTGAAATAGAAAACGTAATAGCTGCCAATGCATGAATCGGGATGTTATTCAAGACTGACTTAATGAGCGCGATTTTGGCACCCAACGATAGTTGCTTTGATTTCCATCCACTGATTCTTTTGGCCAATCTAAGTTCAAAGTCTTGAATTTGTATCTTCCTTATTCTTCCCGTGGCTATTGGGATGCCTAGATATTTAATAAGAAAATGAAATTGTGAGCATTCAATCCTGTCTTGAATCTATTCCAGTCGAGAAGGAGATAACCAACGAAAAGCATAAAAACCACTCTTTGAAGTGTTCATAATCTAACTAGAAGCCACCTCATATTTGACAATTAAATCTCTCAAGTTCAACAAAGAACATTTCTCTCCATTAGTAAATAGTAGCATGTTGTCTGGATAAAATAAATGAGTTATGTGATTAGTTAATCCTTTTACCCGAAAAGCCTTAATGAGACCATTGCTACAAGTTATGTGATAACATCTGTTAAACCAAAACAAAAAGCAAAAGAGATGGGGATCTCCTTGGCATACTCCTCTACTAGATTTGAAGAAGCCTTAACCACACCCCTATATTCTGACTATATATCATATGTTACTAATGCATCAATACACCAAATCACATAATCTTTCATTAAAACTTAATTCCCTCATAGTGCGTAAAAGGGAAGGCCATTCTATTCAATCATATACTTTTGACATATCAATTTTGAAAATAAGGTTACCATCCCTAGCCTTCCTCCTTAAATCATTTACCATTTCTTGAGCTAAATCAATATTCTCCATAATACTCCTTCCTTTTACAAACCGCAATTACTCATTAGCCACAATCTCTAGAAGCACATTACTTTGTCTGGTTAGCTAAAACTTTGGATATAATTATACATTCAAAGTTCGATACACTAATTGGCCTCATGTCATTCGGGGAGATAGGATTGGGGATTTTTGACAAAAGTATTAGAATCATGGCCGATAAACCTCTAGGAATTATGCCTCATTTGAAATAATCCCGAACCCCTTGGACCATATCCATTTTGATGATATCCCAACATCCCGTAAAGAAATGACCTATAAATCTATCTCCACTTAGAAACACTATCCGGATTTAACTCCTTGATTGCCTTAAAAATTTTTGAGTCGAAGGAATGCCATTAAGGATTTCATTATGCTCTTCGGTAATCTTTTTCTCCATGCCTATAAAAATGTTTTCATGCGTACTCATAGAACCCGAAGAGAAAAGCTTTTGAAAATAGTCTAATGTCGCATGCCAAATATAAGGAATGTCCTTAATTAAACTCCCATTATCTTGTCCGATACTCGAACTTTGTCTTCACATTATCCTTCATACGGACATGGAAATAAGTTCTATTCTAATTCCCATCCTTAATCCACATTGCTCAAGCTTTCTACTCGCAACATCTTAGCCTCCCAACCAATCAATTGGTTTAGACGATCTTTGCCCAATATAAATCTATTGTCGTGTCATCTTCCAAATTGAAACAAACACATCTTCCAAATGAGCTATATCATCCCGAATGGCCTCTCTTTCCATTGATGAATTCCCAAACACATTCCATTTCTATCCTTTAAGTAGCTTCTTAGTACGCTATAGCTTTTTTAGAGAACAACCAATGGTGGTCCCTAAACTCGATCATTCCGTGTCCATTAAACAAAACTCCTAAAGTCTTGATGGTCTAGCCATATTATCTAAAAACGAAACAAAGTATGTCCATGGTTTACCTTTTGAAACTATATAACTAGTGAAGAGTGATCTTAGTTGATTCTTGGTAAATACTATGCTTTTAAAGCGAGCAAACTAGCTTTAAAATGTTTATCCACCAACACCTTATCAAAACACTACCAAATACGTCTTTCCTCTCCTTGATTATTACACTAAGTGAATCTACTACCTATGAAACCTACATCATCCAAATCATACTATCTATAACAATCTTTGTGAAGGATCATTTATTCTATGGAGGTGCGTAATAAAACAAAAATTTTTCTCTATCTAAAGTTTCGAAGATCATACCGTTGAATCAACTAATCATAAATATATGAATGAAAGAATAAATAAAGGATTACCTCTTGTAGTCTAGAATTTAATAAAGGATTACCTCTTGTAGCGTAAAATTTAACCCTAGCAGAAAAGGAGCCATCCAAGCGTCCGACCTCTATTTGTAATTTACGCGAGTCCAAGCACATACACAAGAAGAACTTAAAATTAGTAGAGTGCTAGCTCTATTTGTTTTTGACTTGTTTAGTGTTTTTCCTTTAGAAATCTATTTAGGGATATTTTATAACAATCCTAATTTAGAAAGAGATTGGTGGCGTGCGTGAGGGAGGAAGAAAACTATTTTTCTTCTTAGTTTTCCCTCTAGTCATGTAGCCCTAAATCTTCTTTCTCCCCTTTGCCGTATATCTCCTTCTATTTATAGGGAGAGAGGCTTCTTTGTCCTCCAAGGATAAAGAAGTGGTAGCAACTTGTCTCATATGGACTTTTAGTTGTTGCTTCCTAATCCTTCAAGGATTATGAGTTATTATGCATGTGAGCTTTTTGATTTTATCCTTGTAAACCTTGATCCTCATCTAATAAGACTCGTGTTTATCCTCTCATCAAAATTTCGTTTAGGCTTTTAAATTAAACCTATTGACCGAAACTATTTTGACCCAATTAATTACTAATTAATTTGGATTCGTCTAAATAAATTTGGTTAGATATTTTAAGAGGCCAACATTAGGAAATAATTTTTCATATTATCCTTAAATCTAAATTAGAAAATTAATTTCCTTTTTAGGTAATTTGGTTCCAAATTAGGAACCGACTTCCAAATTAGGAAACTAATTTTTAAAGTAGAAAAATTTTCATTTTCAAAAACCTTTTCTAAAATTGGAAACCTTTCAAAATTGAAAACTTTTTCCAACATCTTTGCTTCTCTTTTATTATGTGAATGCTTAAACTTATATGTGTGACTCAATAGGTTCCTAGATATGTTGACAATGCATCAAGAATTAAAGACACTTCTTTTATCTCTTGATTTATGTTATCTCTTAATATATAAATCAAGAGTGACCTCTAATAAGGTATTATGACTACTCAATTCTCTATGAGGATTAATTAATTCGTAATTACCATTTATGAGCATGGTTATCATACAATTTAGTCCTCATATTAATTTATCATTGTGTGATCTCAAACCGGATTATTAGTCCGTTTGATTATGATCACATAAGTTTATTCAATTCCCAAATGTCTTTGCTTACAAAGTAAATCAATTATGCTCTATTGATATACTCCTACTATAGCCACAAATTTCTTGAGCGAGATATTTAAGAAAGTGTAATATAATAATTCCTTTAGCATACAATGATGACATGTCATATCTTAGTCATTCACCTACTTTCATTATATTTCTAGTGCACTCAATGAATCACCCATGTGCAACCCTTTACTAGGTCTATCGAAACGAGTGTCAAAACACATAAATTCTCTAATGAGATAACTATGATGACTTTAAGTCAAATGACTAGTTATACTCATCTTGTATGAGATTTCTATAGACTAAACCAAATGAGTTCGTATGGTGAGTCAAATATAGTGATATGTTTAACATAAATCACGTAAGTGTTTTCCATATAAATGAAAATTGCATATCCAAACTGCATGAAAATGGAAATTTAGAATCATTTGATTATGATGTTTATGAATAGGTGTGAGATCTCCAACTACTATCATCTAGCATGAGTATAACACTCACAAGTCTAACCGTATATAGTCGTCAATGTCCATTCTTGACTATGCTACGACTTGAGACATTTAATGATATCATTTATGTGTATTAGTATTTTTCTCACATCTTTCGATCAATCAATAATGCAAATGCATATCGTATGGACTTCTATTTAATTCTAATCAATGAATAAATGTAAATGACAAGAATTAATAAAAAAACTTCTTTTATTTTAAATAAAATAAATGTGTAATAATTTAATAAGTCAAATCCATCCAACTAAGGTCCGATCTTAAGCACTTACACTAAGAATCTCCCACTTACACTCAAGCCAACTAGCCATGTCCTTTAAGCTTGACGGTCGAGTAAATGTCTCATGTTGTAGTTGTGAAAAAGGCTTAGTCAAAGGGTCATCTATGTTATCATTAGTATGGAATTTTTTTATCCTAATATTGTCGCACCGTTTATCTCTATAATCAAGTGATAGCGATGCGATACATGCTTGAACTGTTGATGAGACTTTGGTTCCTCGGCTTTAACTATGGATCCTTTATAATTGGCCATTAAGCTTTGCAACATTGGAAGAAATATTTCTTTAATTTTTTCATACTAAAATGTATCCGCCTTGGGAGACCTTTCACATTCTAAGTGATCAATTCTTATAGATCTAAACTCTTAGAATGGAAGTCGCCCTCCATGTCATACTTGGGAAAATTATTTTAGATATCTTAATCTATAATGGATTGCAACATGATAGTGTTTAAAACCAACAAGTGGTTTGTTTAAACTTTTATGTAGAATAGCCATGATTATTAGGCTCCCACTAATCTTTTATAAACACAGGGTTTGTCTTTGTTTTTGTGAAAAACCAAACTCTTTGATTGTTTAATTAAAACATCAACTCTAATTCCTAGAAGCATGTTTAAGTCCATAAATGGACTTTTTATTTTACAAATCTTATTTACACGTTCTATAGAACCATCGGGGTGTGCCATTTATACAATATTTTATTTGCCATATCTTGGAGTCAATGTCTCTCAATGCCTTTTTCATCGGGGTTAGGTTCGTTGTAACTTTTAGGGTACACATTACCATGCGTGAAGACAAGAAGATCATATCCATTTGTCATTTGATGAATTTCTTTTGGACTTATAAATTTCTCATGTTTTGTTTATGGGTAGTTACAACATCTTGTAACTTATCTACTTGGGGTTCCATTAATGGAGTGTTAATTTATGAGTCTACTATAATCTTATTGAGTTTTAATTTCCTTTTGCTATTTCTAGCATCCATATACTCCTTCCCAAGAAAAATAACATGCCTAGCCATGAATAACACTTTGTTCTAGTGTTCAAAAAAAAAATATCTATTTGTTTCTTTTGGATATCTTAAGTATTTGCCCTTTATTAATTTTTGGCTTTTACTTTTCTTTGTCAAACCATTTGACACATGTTTTATAGTCTCAAATCATTAAGGAAAGATAAATTAATTTTTTTTTCTTTCCATATCTCATATGTAGTCTAATCAAATAGACTTCATTGGAACCCTATTAAAAAATAGAGGTTGCAGTAAGGAGTGAGTATCCCAAGATAATGCGGGGATATTAACTTGACTCATCATGGATAAGACAATGTTTAACATATGATGTCCATGGAGAATATCATTCTCTTTTAGATGATCTAAAAATCCATTGCTTGAGTATTCATTACCTTGATATCATTGAAATGCTTTAATACTTTTGCTAGTTTATTTTTTGACTTTAAATCTAAATTCTTTGAACTTTTCAAATACTTCAAATTCAGGTCTTATAACCAAAACGTGATCTATTATCACTAAAGATTATGAAATAATCATGTCTTCTTCTTACATGGGTGAACATGGGCCTAAATACATCTTTATGTGTAAGGCTAAACTAGCTAGTAGCATGTTCTTCCTTTTCCATTAAAGGATGATTCATGTCCCTTTGCCAAGTAAACAAGATTCTTTAGACTTCATCAAATGATTCTAGATATTCATTTATAAGTAAATTAGATATTAGGTTTTTTTTTATTTGGCTAAATTGATGATGCCACAAGTTTATGCTTTTTAGATCATTCGAGTCTTTTAGCATTTATGTTATATACGTGGGAGTTATGTCCAAAACATAAAATTATTATCAAGATATTTTGATATATAAAAACTTATCTTTTAAAAAATGAAAAACTTGTTCATAATAAGAAATAGAAATAATATCATTAGTCTCTACTAAAATAATAATAATGGAGTCTTAGTACATGCCTATATTGTAGTACTAGCTCATAAATGCCAACAATTAGTGGTCCAACTCTTGATCCATTATTGTTGTGTAGGTCATTTCCCTTAAAGCTATTTTTCTTTCTTTTCTAAGCTCCTTCATATTTAAAAAATGTGAACACCATATTTTGTATAATATATTTATAGGTGGAATTAGAAATACGAAAATCAACTTTAAAAAAATAAATACTAGAGGTGGTCGTAGAATTCTTCTTCTTCACCCCTTCTAGGTACTCCTTCTAGTTGCACTTCCAACACCCTTTCTTGTTGTAATGAAAGTAAACCACATCCTTTGGGCTATTATGAGCTTTAGCCTTTTCACTCTTCTAGTAGGCGTAGTTGAAGACTTCTTCTTCTTGGGCTTTTTTTTGTCCTTTACCATGTCTTTTCCCTTATCAACAAGAGGTGCGGAACTCTTGTTATTTTTGTTAATTTTAGGTTGAGCTTCCCTAAACATAGATAAAAGCTCTCTAAGAGTCTTTTGTATGTGCATCATGTTAAGTTTATGATGAACTCGTCCAAAGCTATTGGCAACGATTGCAATACTTAGTTAATGGATAATTCAACATCTAGTCCAACTTCAAGCTCAACAAGCCTAGCGATATAGCCTATCATTTTAGTAACATGCTTTTCAATGTTAGATCCCACATCCATTCCGTCCTTAAAGAGCTTCTTTCCTATCTTATAGCGTTCATGCCTAACATTCCCAATAAATAAACTTTTAAAATTTGCTATGATCTTAAATGCCCGTGTGCCTTTATGTTAATACCCATATGCCAACATTAGAGTAGCAAGCATGATGCTCGAGTAGTGATCGCATCATCTCTATGTTTAATTCATGTTGTTTGAGCTTTAGGTTGATCCCGAGGAGACTTAGTTGGGAGAGTTTTCTTTATCATATAGAGAATTTTCTCATGTTCAAAGATTATCTTCGATTCATTTTCTTGTCAAGGAAGTTCATGCCATTAAAGACATTACTTTCATCAATTATTGATCATATTGATATGTTGTCAATCATACCTGTATAATTTGATAGGACGGAAAAATGTATGGTTTGGTTAATTAAATTGCATAAGTAAAACAAAGTATAAATTAAAGAAGTAAAATCTATGTTCGCTCTTATTATTTTTTTCCAGCTTTATAATCTTCATATATAGAACTCAAAAAGACTTTTCGACTTATCTTCCTTAGTGGGTTAGGATTTGATCCTTTAATATGCATTAACCTTGAGTTATCTCAACAAGTCATACATGAAGGATTAGGTAGGTAACGCCTTACCGATTACATCCAATGCAATTCCTAATCTCATCGGCATGACAACTCGTCATATTGCATCTTATACAAAAACCAATCTTTTCCTATAAGTTTATTGAACCTTGAGCTATCTCAACAAACCTAATAACTAATTTTAAGTTAGACCTAGTGTTTTGGGACATCGTATAGCCTATGATTTGTTTCCCTTGAGGAAGAAATGACTTGAGTTATCTCAACTAGTTAACAACAACCAAAAGAGTTTTCTCCTCATAATGTTGGAAGATATTTAACTTAATATTTATTTTAAAGGATTTTAATTTGGTAGGTCTCATATAAGCATGCATACTAATCAATCACGTTAGTCTTAACATGCATATTAACATTAATCACATAATATTTAATACATACATCTCCCGCATGACACAAGGATCGGAGAATGGTAATGAATCTCTAATACTAGCCCCTTCAAGCCATAAGGAGACTAGTGGATCAAATACCTAGATGAAAAATTATTACAAATTCTTTGAGATTTGACTTCACTTATTGGCTTCTTCTTCTTGCATCTATTTTAATTCCAATCTTTTACTTTTATATTTTTTTAAATAAGAAACCTCAAGTTACATTCATGGGTAGTAAGATGCGAAGGGAAGTACAATAGAGCAATAGAGAAGGCAAGATGCACATGCCCTATTTATCAAAAAAATTACAAACATTCATTCCTATAAACTAGGTCGACTTATACATACCATTCGGGCACGCTTCAATCACATTGATATGTGACATAATAATGAAACACATTTCATTCAAATCATAATTAAAAATCTTTTTTTTTTGATAATTTTATAAATTTATCAAAATTTTGATTTTAAAACTTTTTGGGCCTTGGGTCCATATTGGGCCTATGGGATTTTCGAGCCTTAAGGGCCTATGAGCTTCAACGTGCCAAGCGCACCCACCCATGATCGGTAGCTCGACATATGAGTGCCCGGCTTATGGCCTATGGCACGAGTCTAGCTCGCAATGCTTGGAGAGCAAGGGACTAGCTTGCGCTCTTCTTATGTGGTTTTGGCTTGCGGTAGTTGACTTATGCCTTATATGCGTCTAGCACATGGGCCTACCCTATCGCATGCCTAGGCACATGACACCCGAGCCGGTAGGCTTGGCCTATCGCTCACCTAGCGTGTGATTAGCTAGGCCTACTATACACATATCGCATTACCGAGTTAGGGGTTTTTGTGCACGTAAGTGCCAACATCCAACGTCGTCCTTGCAAACCCCTATTGATTTTTAGCCAAATTTCACTTTTAAATTTTCATAAAAAACCAAAAATACTAAATTTATAATCGAGCAAAGCTAATTCATGTAGTTAATCATAATTGAAATAAAACATACAATCACGGATTCAATGAAGGCACCGATACCAATTTAAGGATCATGCATCATTTGGAGGTATGGAATAAAAGAAAAAATTTCTCCATCTAAAAGGTCCAAGCTCATACTCGTTGAATCAACTAACCATATGTCATGAATTAAACCAATAAGTAGAGAATTTTCTCTTGTAGCGTAGATCTAAATCTTTACGAAAAGAGCCATCTAGGTGTATGACCTCTAGCGATAATCCACATAGTCCAAGCACCCACAAAAGAAGGTCTCAAAATTGACAGAGTGCTAGTTTCACATTTTCTAACTTGTTTAGTATTTTCTATAAAAATCTAATCGGGGTAATATTTGCAACAACTCAAAGAGAGAGAGGATAAAGTGGCATGCTAGGGTTAGGGAGAAAAATTTTTCTCTTCTTTTATTTTTTCAATAGTGTGCCATAATTTCTTTTCTTACCGTGCTCAATTTTCTCTCTCTCTTAAAAAAGCCTTACATTTGTCATACCTCTCTCATATATATAGGGGAGAGGCTTTCTTGTCTTCCAAGGACTAGGATGGGCAGCAATGAGTCCCTAAAGGACTTTTAGATTGTTTGTTTCTAATCTTTCAAGGATTAGGAGTCATTTTTCATATGGACTTTTGATCTTTATTTTTAAAACATTCATCCTTATCCAATCGAGTTCATGTTTATCTTCTCACCAAAAAATCTTTTAGGCTTTTAATTAAACCTATTGGCATGAAACTATTTTGGTCGAATTAATTAATTTGGACAATCTAAATAAATTAAGTTAGATAATTTTAAGAGGTCTACGTTAGGAAGTAATTTTTTAAATTACCTTTAAACCAAAATTTGGAAACTCATTTCCATTTTAGGTTGTTTACTTTCAAATTTGGAACTACTAAATTAGGAAACTAATTTCTAAAATAGAAAATTTTCCATTTTAGGAAACTTTTCATTTTCAAAAACCTTTTCCAAAATAGAAAAATTTCATAATTGAAAACTTTTTTCAACATCTTTGCTTCTCTTTAATCATGTAAATGCTTAAACTTAATAAACTTCTAGATATGTTGGTATTGTATTAGGAATAAAAGATGCTCGTTTTATCTTTTGATACGTAAGTCAAGATTGACCTCTAGCCAAACGTCATGAGTACTGAATTCTCTAGGTGGATTAACAAATTCATAATTACCTTTCATAAGCATAGTTACCATATAATTCGGTCCTCATGTCAACTTATCACGGTGTGATCTTGAGCTTTGTTAGTAGTCTTGTTTGATTACAATCACATAAGTTTTCTTCGATTCCTAAATGTCTTAGATCTTAGAGTAAACCAACTATGCTCTATTGGTATACTCCTATTATGTCCATAGATTTATTGAGTAGACATTCATCAAAGTATAATAAGATAACTCCTTTAGCGTAAAAGGAATGACATGTCCTATCTTAGTCATTTACCTATCTCCATTGGATTCCTAATATACCTTACAAATAACCCATGTGTAATCCTTTACTATGTCTATCGAAACGAGTGTCAAAGTACATAAATCCTCCGATGAGAAAACTCTAATAACCTCAAGTCTAAGGACTAGTTGTACTCATCTCGTATGAGATTCTTATAGGCTAAACTAGATGGGTTCTCATGGCGAGTCAAGTCCGAGTGATATGTTCTCTAACATAAATTGCCTAAGTGCTTGCTTTGATACCATCATGTCAATAGATGTGAGAACTACCACTACTATCATATAGCATGAGCATAACACTCATAAGTCTAACCATATATAGTTAATGTTCATTCTTGACCATACTACGACTTGGGTATTTAACAATATTATTTATGTGCATTAGTGTTTGTCTCACATCTTTTGATTAATCCCTAATGTAAATGCATATCATATGGAATTCTATCTAATTCTAATCAATGAATAACTATAAATGACTAGAATTAATAGAAATACTTCTTTTATTATAAACAATAAGCAATAATATAATAAGTCAAACCCATCCAAAAACGATTAGATCTTGGGCACCTATACTAACAATACATCCGTGTCGTTAAGGCAAAGTTGATCTATGTGGGCGAAGAGATTTAACACGGCTTGAAGAAGAAATCCACATAGGCATATGTTTGGCAACATGAAATGAAGAACAAACACACATGACCATGAACCCTAGTTAGCAAATCGTGTAACAATTATTTTCCCGGACTCCAAACCATGTAATATCAAGTAACAAACCATGTAACTTTATGTATTAAGCTATGTAGCCATGTGATGTTGACATACATGTGATGTAACCCTAGATTAGGTATAAATAGTAACATCGGGATATTATTTAAGGATATCTACATAACCTTTACTAGCCATCATTCATAGAAAGTCTTTCCGTAATTTATTATGAGCAATTAAGTTCTATTCTTAGTTGAATCAAGTTAAAGCTTTTGGTTAATCAACTGTGAGATTATAGTTTTATTTCTAAACTTATATCTATTGGGTATTTTATGTTATTGTACATGATTGATTCATAGTTGTATGATTAAATTAATTAGAGTGTATGCTAGATGTTTCGTCATATTAACTTATTGCTAGCTCGGTATTCAAGTTAGTGTAATTATTTGTCTAAACTTGCTCGAGGTAGTAACTAAGGGTTGACGATTATTTATCACGTTTTCTCTAATTTCTTAAAAAATATAGAACAAGGTTACATCTTCTTTAGCACTTAGTAAGGTGGCTTAGCTTCACTCGCCTTTCTCTATCTAATGCTTGTTATTGGATTAAATCTAGCTAGCACTTAGTAGGTTGTTCAATAGTTAGGAAATTAATTGGATATCTATATTTGGTTAATGATTTAGTAAAGAAAGAC